TTTCTGTAATTAAACATTAAATTGTAAATAATGAATAGAAACACCACTGGCTTTCAGGAAAGTGCTTCTGCTTTACACTGAGAGTTGTTTAAAATTTCTATGTGCATGGAGGATAAATATTTGGTCACTAAATATACATACAGAACTGCAAAACTCACTGCAGGAGTGAAATTATACGCTGTGAAGATGGACAAAATTGCCAGAGGTTTACAAATTCATCTGTAGCGAAATTATGTCTAAAGACCCCCAGAGAATTATTTTAAAGTATCCATTTTCATTTCTTAAACTGTTTCCTTAACTTCTCACTTGGTAAATTTCTTTCGCTCGCCATTTGGAAGAAAGGCTGGAAATCTGATGCCACTCCTTCCTAAAGAGCTAAGTTTGAGACGTAAGGACAAGAAAAGGAGGGCAGTGGTCTAGCGATTACATGGTGGGGGCTTTTTCTCAAGTGAAATTGCCTCCGTGGCACCATCTTTTAGGATTATTTCTCCTCTTGAAGGGAACTTTGAGACCCATACATAATGGAGTGCCTCATTGGAGTTTAGTTTCCTCTGAATACAGACATTCACAGGGAACTCTAGTTATCTCTTACTTGTTAGAACACAGTAGAGACGAGACTGGCAGTACTGTTATTTCAAGGGATTCTGGAAGGGAATGGTGAGGTGGGATAAAGAAAGAGAGCATGCCCTCTTAAATCCCTAGAGGAATGGAATTTGAAAAAGAGCCATTTAAGGAAAAGACTAGGATTTTTAATATTCTTATTACATCAAAATATATTAACAACCTACCACCTGCTGGCTCTCTTGGTTGGAGGAGACTCCAGGACTATCCTCAGGCTCAATGATTCCCTAGAAAGACTCACAAGGTTCAGAAAAAAACTATTATGCACACAGTTTTGGTTTACTAGGGTGAAAGGTACATGTTACAATCAGCGAAGAGAAAAGACACAAGGATGCAGACAAGGAGGGACCAGGCACGAGCCTCCAGACCCCCGTCCTGTGCAGTCACATGGGGACAGCAATGGTACATGACAGTAAGCGTGAGGTGTTGTGAACCAAGGAAGCCCCCCACGAGCCTTGGTGTCTGAGGTTTTGGTTGAGGGTCAGCTAGATGGGCATGCAGTGTCCTCAGGGTCCAGGAACAACCTCAGCCACTCAGACCCTAGCCACCACCAGAGCAAAACAGGCATTCATGGTGAACCACCTTGTTAGGATAAACTTACCTGGTCAGACCGATACAGCATGGCTCAAGGCCTCAGGCACAAGAGACACTCTTATCAGACTGAATATAACAAAGGCTCCAAGGTTGCATTCCAGAAACCCTCCAAGGGACCATCCCCAAAACAGACTTTTCTTCTGGATGTGCAGAGTTTGAGCAACCCAGGCCTGCTGAATTAATCCTTTCCTGCCCACTGTCACATACATTACTTCATTTGATTAAAAGAAAAATAAAAACAATCTTGTGACAAAGTCTTGTCACCCCCATTTTGTACATGAGGAGTAAATAGGTGAAATAACTTTCCATGGCCTTCCTCTTGGCCCTGCACGTCTTCCTGCTAGCATTTACCACAGTGAGCGAGTCATTTTCTGAACAATGCTTATCTACCCCACCATTTAAAAAGCCTCAGGGGCAATGAGCCATGTATATTGTTCCCTGCTTTTCATCCCCAGGCTCAAGACAGTGCCTGGCTTATAGTACTAGAAAAGTATGTGATAAATGAATATGACAGGCCGTAACATGATTGTTGAAATTTGTACCCTTAGTCTTTTGACTGTACTATTATAGTCTATGCTATTATAATGTCCCTTATATCACAATGTCAGAAAAGAAAAAAAAAAAACCTGGAAATAAGTGTGTCAGTCCTACTTCTTAGAATTTTTATAAAGCCCCGGATTATTCCTTAAAGCTGAAAGGGACCTTAGAGATTCTACTCTTTAACATTTTATTTTAGGTAAGAAGTAGTATTAATTTTGTGCAAATACCTTGTTAAGTATAAAGAGAGATATCATTTGTAATTGTCTATACATTTCAATAAAATTCTAGTTTCGAGTCAGGACAAACATACATTGTCCATATTTTCACTTATTCTTCAAGTCAATGCAGTTGAGGAGTGTGCATGTTAGTGGTGAGGGTTTAGGAAATTCAAATGTAACTAGCAGCCCTATCTTAGCTCTTTCCAAATGAAGGAAAGGGTTCTTCTAGAGGTGCTTTTGTCCTTTTCGTCAAATTTCTTCCTTTCTAACCTTCAGTTTGTTATGTCAAAGTCTTAAGCTGCACAAATATGCCTTCTAATTTGTCCTCCTATGGGTCTCAAGCATCATCTCCCACTCCCTTGAA